ATAGTCTATAAAGCACATGCTGGTTTTCTTTTGAAATTCCCTGGTGTGTTCCATTAGCCATTGTATGTGTGGTCCCTAGTGTCTCTTCCTTTCCTGAACTCCGATTTCTCTCTCCATGTATGATTGGAATCTATATTGTAGATTTTTTAGCATAATTTTGCTTGCATGGGAGATCTCTTGAGCACAAGGTTCTTCATCAGGCAAGATGTTACAAACCAAGCAGGAGTGAGGCATCTGACCAACATCTCCTCCAATATATATACACATACATACATAAGGTGCTGATCTCCGGGGGGGGGGGGAGGCAATACACAGGACTGCCCTTACCTTGCTGTGGTGATGTTGGGTGACAGCTTGGGGAACCTTCTTCCTCCTCAGTGGAGGATGAGGAAGTTTCCTCCATTCTCCACCTGTGCCTGGCATCTTGGAATGTAAGCCAACAGATTAATGCGTTTTAAAAAATGTCTACCTATAGTGGTGTTTTTTTCCTGTCCTATGCTTAAAAGACATGGCCACAACACTGCCAAGTGCTTTTGGGGGGGCCATGGAGAAAGGCTGGGAAGGTTGCTAACAGGGACTGGGGAAGGCGGTGTACATTTGGCAGGGCTAATATGGGTTTCTGCATAAGCTGATGACAGTGTTTTCTATGTGTACACAGAGGCTGAGAGAGCGTAACCTTTGGGGAAGATGCAGTGCCAGCGGCCATCACATTTGCAAATATTGAAGTCTAGTTTGAACTGTAGGGGATAATAAAACCACGAGTGAAGCCACCCAAAGTCTACTAACCCATGGTTCATTTTAAGACATGGAAGTGTTTTGTATATGAACATAACTGTATTACATAGTGCCTATCGCATCTCTGGCTGCATTGCTATATAGATGCTAAAGTCTGTGCAATGGATCAAGGTCATACTAAAGAAACACAGAATTGCACTTATTTAGGACAAACTTTTTATTATGGTCATGGAGATGAAAAGGTGTAGGGAGGTGCCTATGGGAGTTGCTAAAGCCCATGCAATGGATCTGGGCCATACCAAACAAACACAGAAGTGCAATTATTGAGGACAAACTTTTTATTATGATCAGGGAAATGACAAGGTTTAGGGAGATGCCTATTGGAGTTGAGGGCGCTGTTGCTGGTGACAAAAGTACTCTACTAATGCTTCCATTGTTGCTTCCCCCTCTTTCTTCTCCTGTCCGCATCAAAGTGGTATGATGGGTTGGTAGTATCCACTTTGTAGATTGCTGGTTGTGGAGGTCAGCTGGTCAGCACTTCACCGTCTGACTCCACTATATTGTGCAATATTATACATGCAGCAATCACAGAGTTCACATTTTCCTCTGCAACCTCAAAGGGGGCTGTGGAACATCTCTACCTAGCCTTAAGGTGCCCAAATGCCCACTCAACAACATTTCTCACCTTATTGAGACACTTGTTGAACACTGCCTGGCAAAGATGCAGCACCCTTGAAAGGTGTCATGGCCCATGTCCTAAGGGGATAGGCAGCATCTGCCATCAATAGTGGACCTACTTTCCACCCAAAGATTGTCACTGTGGGGTTCCCTGAAAATAGACATTGGCCCTCAAAGCTGTATAAATGCCAGAGTGCCTGAATACAAAAGTGTCATGATTTGACCCTGCCCACCCGATCACAAGGTCTATGAACTGCCTAGAATGGTCACAGATCCTTGGAGGAGCATGGAGTGTTCTTATTTCTTGCTGATGAACTGGCCCCTCTGATGCACAGGAGCGATGATATTACAATGGTAGCCATCCACAGCACCCCATCTTTTCAAAGCCAGGCATCACCTGTAGGGGCATTAGAAGTGAAGAAGTGGGAATAAGTAGTGCACAAATCAAAGCAAACAGATTCAAAGTAATACAAAGTAACAAATGCAAACAGACAAATGCAGATACAATGTAATACAAAGACATAGGTAGAAATACACACCTTTCTATGGTCTCCAAGGTACACAGTCTTATGCAGCAGCACCAGCTCCATGGCAAGGATCACCTGGAGAAAAGCAGCGCAAGCAATGGATTTTTCTACACCGAACTTTCTTGAAGCTGTGGAACAGGAGCCTTGGTTTGCCAGCAACCACACAGTAATGGCAACACGTTTTCCAACTGAAACTGCCTGACATAGGCAGGTGTCATGTGTTGTTATATGTGGCCGCAGTTCTTCCACAATCATACAGAAAATTCTTTGCAACATGCATAACTTCCACTTCCACTTCTCTTTTGACCACACAGTAGTGGCAAAAACATCCCAAATTTCCTTTGCATTGGGGTACACCCACCTCCTGGGCATAAAAGCACTGCATACAGCTGTTAAAGTCAGTGGCCTATTCACACAGGGAAAAGAGATCATGCACTCCATTATCTTATTGCTGTGGACATGTCTTCTCCTTCTTTGTTTTTGAACTCTCACATCCATGGCTTCTCCTGGAGCAGCCCCCAAAGCAGCAAGTCTTCACAGATGGACATTCCTCATCCAGAGGCAGATGAGGAAAGTGGATAGGAAAACATTGCTTGCAAAACAGTTACGGACATGGAATCCATGTCCTTTGCCAACAGACCACGAGGAGATGGGACCGAGCATGGTGACAGCTGATGCGCGT